ATTACTTGCAAAATATGAAGATTTCCTTTGCTCTCCTTGCCCTGGCCACCACCGCTGTGTTTGCCGCGCCCACGCCCGACACTTACGATAAGCGCGCTGTCGTCAACTTTGCTGCTCTGCAGCAGGCCGCCAAGAGCTACAGCTCACAGGCCATACAGATTCGCAACGCCATCGACCAACTGCAGAAAACCAAAAACCAAATCTCGGGCAGCCTGTCGGGCAAGACAAAGTCGGACCTGAACGCCGCTCATTACAAGGCGATTGGGAACCTGGATGCCGCGGCAAAAGCGGTGTCAAGCATGGCTGGACAGATTAACAAGTTTATTGCCTCGTACCAAGGCGCCGAAGGCAGGAACCCGGACTTTTTCAACTAGAATGCCTTCTCCGTAGACTCTTTTCAAAAGTATATGAACGCGCTTTCAGATAATGCTAATTGCTTTTATGCCAACCAAGAGCACGCATTGAAATCATTAAACCCTGACTGCGCGCTAGAAGCACATGAAGTAGCTCCTAGATTTGACGCGGTAGTTGGATTGCAGCGCATTGTTTACAGCTTGCCGTCTATCGCTCACCATCTGCATGTCTGCCTCTCATTGGTAGATGCACGTGTGCATACCAGCCATGCACCAAGCCTCCCCATTTCTGAACCTCTATCCAGCAGGGGTCGCCAGATGGTGTGGTTAAAAGGATGGATCCGAAGTAGGCTGACGGAGGGAAAGGTGTGCAGAATGCACTGCATGGCTAGGCAGTCTCCTTTTCTGAGGATATAAGCGTCTGGCGCTTTGGCAGGCAATCCTACTCGAAAGAACAGGGCTAGGCTGTGGAAATCAGCGCACTACTCTTGGAATATGGAGCGGCGGTGAGTTTAAAGGTTAAATAACGGAAACTCCTGCCAGTACAAAGCATAGGCAATTCAAAAATACTGAGTGAACTCACCACGGTAGCAAGGGGTTCTGCTAACCACCTGTTCAGTCAGCTTTTCTTCAACCAGTGGCCAAAGTACCAATGAACACATTTCTCACCCGTCTCCCTGTGCATAGTATCCGTACCATACATGCACCCACAAAAGACACTGTGAACACCTCACAGTTGAAAACACAGAGTGAAGATTTGCATTCCGTGCCACCAAGGCAGGAAAACAACCGCTCGTGCATACTTCCTACCCAGCGCACCCTCTTGTAGCAGGCGAGGAGTGTCCGAAAGCAGGATACCATCCTGCCAAGTGGGTATTTGCGTTTCTCCAAGTAGTGGCTTACCTGTTCACCTGCTCACCTGTGCCTCTATGTCGCCCTTCCTGTGCATGCTCCAGCAGCTAGCCAGGATATCATTGGCTTGCCGGATGGCCCTGGGCTTAATACGTCTATATATGGGCACACCAGGTGGCCGCGTAATCGGATACGCTTTTCCATGCATTTGCAGCTCCTTCACTTTGAGGAACCGTGCCAGTACAAAAAGGTTATCAAAAAGCAGCACGCTGTGTAGAGTATTTCAAAAGGGGGTATGAAACTCAGGAGAGCACCGCCCACCCTGCCTCTACTCCTCATCGCCTTTCCCATTCCCGGACATCTGGCTATTTCTGCTCTACTTACTTCACCGCACCATCTTCTCTAATTCTTCTTAAACCGTCATCACCCACCTTTCTCTTCATCATGGCTCACCGAAGTGATGGTCGTGACTGGCGCTTTGAGCTGCCTCTCAATCCCGTGAAAGTCAGCGAGAACTCGGTTGGTCCTGTCTCAACGATGAGCGACTACTTTTACGTGGAGAGTTTCGTCAAGACATGTCCAACCCGTGTCAACGAGCTGACAGCCAACGCCTTCACCGTCCTGATCCTGGAGAGTAACGACCCCTGTGACTGCAATGACCCCTCGTGCGAAAAATCGCACAAGCGCATATGGCGCTCGAACCTGCGTACAATTGACCTACTTCGGAAGCGCCATCTGATTAAGGAGTTCCGGGTCATCGCACACGGCGTGGAGTAAAAAGCTGCTGAACATCAATCAGGAGCTGACTAAGCTTGCAGATTCTCTGGGTGGACCCTTGGCAGCTGTGCGTAAGATTTTATTCCTTGGTAGAGGATTGATACAGGCAGGCTATGAGAACGTGGATGCCAGCAACACAGATGCCGAAGCTGCTGCGAAATTGATTCACGCGCTTTTTCCGAATGTGAGCGATCTCACGAACTATCTCTTTAGAAAATGGGGAGTATCAGCTGGCTACGCTAAATTGCCAATGATTGTCTGTCAGCTATTCGAACAGACTTTCATGAAGTACATACACCAGCTGGAGGCCCTTCAACTTCACCTCATAACGCCTTTAAAGTTTCACAAATTCTGCGAGAATTTGGCGTCTCTGTCGATCAATATCAGGCACGTTTACTGGCAAACCGATTTGCCATTAATACCTACTCGTTGTCTGCGGCTGCTCTACCTGCTTGAAATTGATGCTGCCATTCCTTGGCATCTTTTTGATTTGGTCAAAGGACAGCTGGTTTTTCAGAGCCTGGAGAAGGTGGAATTTAAGTTCATCGTGGACGCTAGAAGCAAGATTACGTTCCCTGGATATCAGCATCCTGTCATCTTCCCGGTGCTGACCTCCTTGCGTGTCACCAACGCCATAGGTGTGTACGACAATATTTACGCATATTTCACTTCTAACAAACTCAGCAGGCTGGTGGTTAAGGATGACCCAGATGCTTTCGAGCACATCGATTGGCGTGTCCTGCAAACTGTGCAGCGGTTTGAGATAGAACATCCCACAGGGGAGTTCTACAAGCGCGAGTACTCATCAGACAGTATTCAGAAACTGTTCGCCCAAGAGTCCGCAGTCCGCGAGGTTGTCATGCTCGGCCCGGTCTACTACATACTACCTCGCACCATCAACTGGCACAATCTGGCCTTGCTCGACATTGCAGTGGCCATTGCCGACAAGGACATGCTCGGCAACATGGTGGCACAGCTGCCGCACCTGGAATCACTCCATATCAACTGCGTGTCGATGCTTACAAAAGACGCTTGCGACACGGTTTACCCCGATCAGAAGACCGTTCCTGAAGGACTCGAAGTGACTATCGACGAGGAGTACGCTGAGGAGAACCCATACCGGGCGCTCAGTTGGAGGTTGAGGCTGCTTGATATCTACGCTGACAAGGCATTTGATGTGGACGGGTTCTGCCAACTTCTTTGCCGCTTGCCGCGTGTGACGAGCTGTGCGATCAATGGCACACAAGCCGCAGAGGTGAATCGCTTGCTGTATGGCCACTATCTAATGAAGCGGTATATCCACTTTTACAATTACTATGCGCCTTATTAGCCTCATCTGTTTTATTAATATTCTACTTTAACAAACACCATTTTAGTATACAAAAGCAAGTAGGTGAATAACACAAGTCACAATTTACCATCCTATCTATTCTAAAAATGGCCAGGTGCTTAGGGCCAGTGCATCAGCATCACAAACTGATATCACTATTTTTGTTGTCATTCTCTAATACATGTTGTTCTCTTGTTGAGGACTGGCACAAGGATAACTTCGAAGGAATCTGCCCTCTATTTTGTTCATTCTTCATAGAAATCACACATTGCAGTCCTGATTTAAAATGTGGTAGTTCGTTGAGTGGTATTCAGGGTTAAATGACAAGATATAAAAAACCCAATCAGCGCTTCAGATACCTCAACCTACTTTTCCTTGCGGTTTTTCAGTTTTCTCTCTATCTAATCAGACAATTGCTTTGTTTTCCTTGGTTCAACTTTAATAATCGATACATGGAGGTGTGAGATCAGTGCGTGTTTTCGATAGGGTTCTATTTGTCGACTATATTCCGGATATTGGTTTTGCATGTATTTTAGACCATGTCAGCACTGATAGTGGAACATGAAGAAAATAAATGGTGCATAGCGAGACAGTGTCATATTGTGTTTGCTATACCTTGTATTTCGGCTCACTCATTTCCGATGCCAGCCTGCTGAGCTGATTGAGCCATAGGTAGGATACAATCGGGTTGACCGGATGAGCTTGGCATCTTAAACACGCCACCTGGGACCTGTGTCTGTTGTTTGCGTTTGGTTTAGAGCAGCTTCATCTGACAGTGGCTGTCATATATGGTCAAAACAAAAGCTAAACAATCATCTGTCTATGCGGAAGCAGCTCGGGGTTATGCGTGCCTCACACCTCAAAATGTTGCGATGCATGAGCAATTCGGATACTGGTGTGATAAAGCCATATAGAGTAAGTCGACTGGAGCGTATGCGGCAGTATGCATCAATCATCCACTCAGTCCGGGCATTAAAGAATATCTCTTCGCTTGGGCAAAATAAGCCCCTCTCAGTAGAAGATAACTCCTCACCAGTCCTCCAGCTCAACTCCTGGTTATTTTGCTAGCATAGCTGGGACCAGATTTGTATAGCAGAGGCTCTATATTCAGTTGTTTTTGGACCGTTCTGTCTCATGTTTGGCAATCCTGCGGATACAGAGCAATGGCGCCGCAAACTAGCAGCAATGAACGCCTTCTACACTGGAAAGGAAAACATTCGCTATAGTTGTTATTTTCCTTCTTGTCAATGACCATTTTCAAGTTGTTATGGATGCTCTGAATATGTGCCACAAGCTGTGGATACTTAAAACAGCAAAAGCAGTGAAGAGCTGTAGGTTGCGCCCAGTATTTCAACTAAATCATCCCTTTTTGAGATGATGGATATATAAAAACTGATGCAGCTCTTCCACTGAGGCTATTTAACTGAACTCAAATTTTCCTTCAATATTTTCCTGCACCCAACTTTGATTAGTGTCATAATATTCAGTCGATAGGAAAGTCAAGATCATGGCCACTCAACTCTCGAGCACTCTTGTTTTAAACCGTGCAGGCAACGAACCTGATGGAGAAACAATTGATCCTTCTACTCCTTTTTAACACTTGTATTGGTAGCTACTAGACCACCGGGTCTACCGCCTGAACCCAACATCGCAGTCGGGAAAGAAGCCAACGCTCACCCAAGTAGCATAGGTTATAGCGAGAGGCGGGAATGGTTACTCCATAGCCTTTCGCTGAAGTCACTGCCTTCCACCGAGTGCGATTACCTCTTTAAAGTATATCTTGCATCTTGAACCTACAGAAGAAATCCTGGAAAGTGGGTTAGCACTAGTTGCTGTTCTTATTGTGACTGGTGCGGTTTGCAAGCACAGATAGTTAACAGGTTTGTATTTGTCAAGAGGTCGAGAAAATAAATGCAAAGAGACTGTCGAGGAGAACGGAGAAAGACATGGAGAACATTAGTGTGAAGTGAATGGAAAGGCGGGCAGCAGGTGTCTGGGCATATAGCCTCATGCTGCGCAATGTTGCAGCATCAGTTTGATGCAACCGGTGTGCATAGCAAAGAAAGGTCATTTTCAGACTCAAATATCCGAGTCTGACTGCCCATTCTCTCCAGCAGGATCAGGGCACACGCTACCATGTATCTGACTCGGTTCAGCCCTAGCCAGCCAGATGCGTCTCGGATCCAAAGTGCTGTGCACACGTCTGCACCTCAGGTAGACATTTGTCTCTGCAGGGGATGATGCAGGAATCAGCCAATCCTCATGCGTCATCCGTACACGATGTCTACGATAATGGTTCGGTCTGCTAGTGGGTCTGCGATGAGTACGATGGAAGGTGCTCTGCCAAAACGCTCTTACTGGACAGCGATCTACCAGTAGATGGAACATATCCCCAATTCCGTCAAATTTCAGGGGGTTGTCCTACATCTTGGATGGAGGGCCGTGGATCGCCGTGGCGAATGTCGGACATGCTCCAGCAAATGCACTGGCTGCGTGAAAGGACTCAATGGGCTGGGTGTGTTTGGGAAAATTCACACGGGCAAGCACAAAAACCTGTAGTGGTCTACTAAGACGTATAGTTCCTGGCATTTGTTTGGCGCACAGACGTGCATACAGCGCCCAGTTTTGTGCAGCCGCTATTTCCTTCGGAGTATTGGGTTTTGCTTGTCTCCCTCTCCTGTCCTTGCCAAACATTCCTTTCACGCTACACAGGAGCATCTGCGGGGCGCGGGGAGTGATGCGCCATGTTTTTCACCCCCATCTTGGCAGCAAAGACACTAGATAGGGAAGGTCCGCAAATACGGGGAGGGGCCAGGCGGCCACGTTTCAGGTGCAGCTTCTAAATAGCACTTTGCGCCCCGTCTTCTCGACTCACAACAATATATAAATGGCTGTCGCTAGACGACATCATCCCCCATCGCATTCTGGCATCTTCAGCTTCTCATCGTACACTCCTTTGTTACTTCCCCCCTTAACTCCCGCAACTCTAGGAGCTGTCTAGTAAAGAATGCACGCACTGCGTTTCTCTCCAGCAATCGTCGTGGCTGCCATTGCCGGCTGCAGCGTTGTCCAGGCCACACCCATCGGCGGACCAGTCTCCGGGCCCGCAGAGCAGCGCGGCACAGATCCACCTTCAATACGCCTATCTCCCATGGTATAACTTTGATGTCCCTCACGGATATACCTACTGCCAGGCAAGCTACCCATCTGCGAGCACTACACTGCCGTTCCCAACGCTGAGCTCGAGCTTGTGCAGCTTGTTGTTCGTCATGGCGACCGCACCCCGTAATGCAATCATACCCCACGAGGACACCACCTGGACCTGTGACGGTGTTGATGAGGACACGTATCTCCACATCGCTAACCCGTCGGCCAGAAACACGACTGGGTCGTTCAAGCAGGTAATCGAGATCCCCAAGTGGAACGGCAAGTTCGGCTTCGAGAACCAGTTCTACAAGGGCTCGTGCGAATCGGGCGAACTGACTGACAAGGGCAAGTTCCAGCATTTCCAGCTTCGGGTCTCAGCTGCGGAGCATCTATGTTGACAAGCTCAACTTCCTTCCCAAGAAGCTGTGCGATCCGGACATTATCCACTTCCGCTCATCATATCGTCTGGCGCACCAAAAACTCGGGCGAGAGCCTGATTGGTAACCTCTACCCTGGTCGCAGCATCGAGTCCAATGTGGCCATTCCTCTGCACACCTACCCACAGAGCATCGAAACGATGCTCGAGAATCCGGCCTGCCTGCCCTAAGATCAAAACCAACCTTGCGCAAATGACTGCCTCGGCCCAATACCAGAATTTCCTCAAGGACCAGGCGCCCTTGATGAAGAGGCTTCAAGATATCATGGGCATGCATACTTCCGATTACACGATCCACTTGGTACTTCATCCTAGATCGTCTTGCTCACTCGCAAGTGCCACGGGTTCAAGTACCCGTGCAACAGCAGCGGCCAGTGCGCGACAGGAAGGCGATGTCGAGCAGGTCATCCGCAATGCCAACTTTGAGCTGGCGTTCAAGTACCGCGACAGCTCGATCTCACCCGAGTATACACGCTTGGGACTCGGCTCATTCCTTGGCACGCTCAAGGAGCAGATGCAGAGCTTTGTTGCTGGAAACACCGGCAAGCTCAAGCTCTCTCTCTACTCGGCCCACGACACCACGATTGCCCCTATCCTCGGCGCCCTGAAGGCATCCAACGCCGACATGCTGTGGCCGCCGTATGCCTCGAACCTGGCGTTCGAGCTGTGGAAGAAGAAGGATGGCAGCCGTACTGTGCGTGTCGTGTACAACGGCCATGTCTTGCAGTTGCAGGAGGGCCAGAAGTGGTGCGACCTCAATGCCTGCCCGATCGACACATACTACAAATACCTCGACAGCCACATCCCAACCAACATTGTCAAGGAGTGCTCTACACAATAGTCTCGAAGCATGGTACAACCTAACAAAATAATTTACAATACATAATCTAAACCTGTGTAAGGGCTCATTAGATGCTGGGCCACCAGAATAGGTGCCTAAGAATAAATATCAAAACAATTAAATGTGGAGAAAGGCAATGTCCATAAATGGAAGCAGTGATGGGAGTAGAAGGCCAACGGGGCAGAAGGATAATGTACTGACATGTACAGATTAAGCATTGCGCATATATGATAAGTAGAAATATCGTGGGTTTTCATGGAAATACCAAGAATCTCTTTGTGTGCTGAGTTACTCAGGATAGATAAAGCTGAGAGAGTGGCAGGCGGATGCCAGCTTCTTGTTCCGCCCGCAGTATTTAAAGTAAACTGAGGCGGTATACGCGAAGATTTATAAATGAGAAATAAGAAAATACTAAGCAGCTAAACCGGTAAGAAAAAGAGGAGAGCTGTTTCAGAGAAGAGCTCAGCGCCACATAGTTGGTGAGTCGCCAGGTCAGGATTTCCTTAGCACAGTGACTTGCCGATTTGAGACAAACTATGTAGTCCATCGACTAGTGTCCAACATTAATGTTTTGGGATTTCTGTGGGATAGGAATTGGAATATTTACATAGAGAAATCAAGAGAAAAGCTGTGAGGCTGCTAACACGACACACACACACACACACACACACACACACACACACACATATATATATATATATATATATATATATATCTCTCTCTCTCTCTCTCTCTCTCTCTCTCTCTCTCTCTCTCTCGGTTGTGAAGCTAGCGTCCCCGATATATGATTTGATCGAGATACTTGTGCTACAGACATATGTCATTCCTGTTAAAGGTCCAAGTTGCCATTGTTTACAGCTGGACATTAACCTCCACTGCTATGCGTCTGGTCCCCGGTGTCGTCCCTGCTGATTTTGTCCACATCGGTACCCAGCTTTTATTAAAACCAACAGTCCTTTTTTAATAGCACATACATGTACACTGGCAGCATTAATATATTTATATAATAAACCCTATTCAAAATCACCACCACAGGCACATATGCAGCCATCAAAATGCTCATTTGATAGTGTTGTGCAATGACCTAGTGTTGCGCGCGGCATTTGTAGTTTTCCTTTCTCTTTTCCTTTCCTTTAGTCTTGAAGTCAAAACCTATCTATCCTCCATATTAGCACAACAGACTAAAGCTCGATGCATCCATGTCAGACAGTACCGGGAAGATTACGCGGTTTTAGCCATTTTAGAGTATCCACGATGCTGCCTATAGCGTCACGCAGAAGGGACGCTGATCAAGTGATATTCCGAGAGATAGTTAAGCAGTTGATGGTAAAAGAGTTCAGAATGAGGGTGTGGTTTGGCCTGGGAATTTGCCACATTTGAGGGTGCCATTCACTTCCGTTCTGAAAGAAAAAGGGGATAGAATCGCCAAGATATTGGCGGTTTGTGTCATATTTGCTGTCCTTGGAATGGCCACACAAGCCAGCATCACCCTGGACACTTCAGAGTCCAAGAATTACAGCTACCAGATATGAGGGGATATGTATGAACAAGGTCATTCGGGACATGGAAAAGTGGGCATTAGATTATACCAAAAGCACAATATGCGTCATATCTTTCGAATACAAAGTACTAGAAAAGCGTCAAAAAGTATATTGAAGTATTTATCAGGTAATAAACGGAATGCAGGATCATAAGAGCGAAGACATGAAAGGGTGTAAGGGGCAAGATAAAAAGGCATGACATGAAAATGAGATGGCATTATGGAATTCAGAAGGCCGCAGCAACAACTGCCGCAACAGCAGCAGCAACACCGACGACCGCACGTTCACCAGCGCCGCTAACAAGTGGAGCAGCACTACGCGATGATGCCTTGCCCGATTTGCCGTCCTCATCGTTATCCTCGCCGCCCCTGTCCTTTCTTGCCGAACTCCTGGGGTCAATCGTGGCCATGGGGCGGCCACCAAGTGCGGTTTGCTGCTGGACCGGGCGGATGGCAGCGGGCAGGGCGGGCGATGGCTGGTAGCGGGCGCTGATGGGCGTGAAGGCGACACCTTGCTCGGAGAACTGCGAGCAGATGCGGTAGCAGGTCTCGCGCTGGTCTTCGGGTGCAGTGCTGCATTGTCTGGCACACTCAGCGTTGACAGTGGTGGTTGGCTGCGGGCCGTTGAGGGCAGAGGCAGCAGCGAGGAGTGGGAGGAGTGTGAGGATGTTCATGGCTGCGGGCGAGAAGGGGAGGTCGTGAAACTAGATCTGTATAATGAAAGAGGGATGTGTACGTCGTTACGCGGGGAGTGAGAGGTGGCAGGGGATATGTTGTTTGCGTAAGGGGTTTAGAGACTGCAGAGTGGTGGGGGAGAATGAAACAGGGAGGAGGTGAAGGACGAGAAGGAGTGGCAGAGGGAGGGGGTGTCGCTTCTATATGCAGATACAGCAGGCAAATGTTTATCGAGAATTCTTGAGATTTAAGGCCTGGCCAACGTTTTCTGCTCTTCTGTACTGCAGCCGATTCCCGCTAGAACATTTCCGCCGACTCTAGTGCGCGCTGTCGAACCAGTATTCTGTTTCACTTGCATATGTGACGGCTCTTGCTGTCCAAGAAAATAGTGCAAAGGTAAACGCATCAGGCCGCTGTATCTCCCTGCCTAATCAGTGAACGTTGGCGGACTGGGCAGTAGCATCGGAGGCAGGTAGCATTTTCCACAGGCAGCCCATGTACTCTTCTGATACCTCGATAGCTCCGCATATTCGCCATGTCCACAATGGAATGGGGGACCGATTCGTGGTATTACTACAATTCTACGAGAATATACCGCGGAATTCTGAGGAGTGTCAATTTCTTAACGAGTGCGCATGGGGACAAAAAATCTAGGATGGTAGACACATTCTAGTCGTATAAAATGCATTTTTCTACTTGGAGCTGGCGTGAGCCGAGCTGGCAGAGTCGCCGTTGCTCTGGTTCAGCCGATCCATGGAAATGGGCGGCGGCAGGACCTGGGCGCCCTGCGGCGTATCGCGCTTCTGGATGTTCTTGGCGTGCGTGTACACGAGGCCGGCGGCAAAGCCCAGCAGCACCGCCAGCACGCCGCCAGCCGTGATGGGATCGGGGAACCACAGCATGGCGAACAGCGCAATCGGCAGCTTGTTGAGGGCGCCGATCATCGAGTACGTGGTGGACGAGGTCGTGCGCAGGCACCACGGCGAGCAGTACGAGATAGCAAAGGCGGCCACGCCTGATACGAACATGCCGCGCACAAACGAGTAGAGCTCCGCCGAGTTCACCGGGTTCGAGTAGTAGCCCGTGAAGCCAGTCCAGTCCTCCATCAGCAGGCTCATGACCATGTACAGCGGCAGCGTCAGCAGGTTGTTGAAGTACACGGTGTCAAAGTCCTTAAAGTTCACCTGCTTGATCACCTTGCGCATGTGGATCACAAACGTCGCCGACGCCAGGCAGTTGAAGCTCATCCAGAAGTACCCGTGGCCGTTGAACGTGATGTCGTTCCAGGCGCCCACAAGCGACGACAGGACCATCAGCGAGAACGAAGTGAGCATCAGCGGCGTCACCGAGGCCTTGAATACCCACTTCTCGCCGTACGCGACCGCGATGATCGTTAGGTTCTTGAAAACTGTGAACAGCGGCACGTTCAGGTATTCCAGCGCCTTGCCACCAGTGTACAGCATCAGCGCCTGCGAGCATGCTACCGGGAACCAGGTCATCGCGTCCTTCTTGTTCATCGCCCGGTACTTCACGTTCAGCCCGACGTGGTGCGCCAGGACCATCAGCGCGATACTGCCGAACGCCTGAACTGCCAGCATGAAGAACACCATGTGGTACTCGAAGCTCGACAGAACCAGCTTGTTGACAAGCGTCATTGTGATGGACGACCCGCAATACGCCAAGATGGGAATTGCGGTCTGGAGCATTGTTGAACTCATTTTTCGGTCTACGGAAATAATATCGTCTGGTTCCTAAGAAGTGCTGTTTCTGCTTCGCGTCGTCAAAAGGGGAGAAATGAATGTGCGTGTATGGCTGGGAGAAGGAAGGGGAAGCGGGACACTCTGCAGGCGTGTGTATGAAGCAACAACGGAAGAGAGAGGGAGGCTGGAGACAAAAGAAAGAAGGGATCGAGAAGTGCAGAGCGCAAACAGTGCTTTCCTTGTTTTCTGGCTTGCAGGCTGGCAGCCCGGTCGCGTTGAAAATTTTTGGGGAGGCTGGCGGCTCTCTTTGGTCACGGGCGCATTCCATCCAATCGGCGGGCAGCGTGTTGTTTTAGACTCTCGGCTCAGGTCACCACTGTGCGACGATGCACCCGGCTGCCGTTCCTCCGTCGTCCAGACGACCAAGATGATTATCTGTAGATATTGAGATTGTCTCCTCCACCCAACCCATGGCACGCACAGCCAGCCCTCTCAGACGGCGCTACAGACCAGCAGTGCAGGTGTAGAGCGCCCGAACACGCTCCACACGGATAGGTAGACTGCCAAGCCGGGATTGCCTAAGGCGAAGAACGCAGCGCCGCTGACGAGTTGCATGCTGCCCAGTACCGCAATGCCCGCGTGCTGCCTGGTGTGCCTCGATTGGAATGCCACTGTATGAATGTGTGCACATGCATCGCCTACTGGGTGTGTACTTCCGGACTGTTTCCTTGTCTACATCTGATCTGTCATCGCATTTGATCTGCAGGGCTTGGCGTTAGCATGGCTGTGACATACGATCTCTTGAAAACTTAAGGCTGATTACGTTCAGGTGCTCTATCAGAGCTCCATTTCTATCCACACTGCACTTTAGCCATGATGTTTTCATGATGGGTACAGTTCCAAACAATGCGTCCAGGACAGAGTTTTATGCAAGTGATAGATGTATTGAAAACCACATCACAAATGAAAGAAAGTATGAGCAATGACTATATTATTCTTGCTGTTATTCAAAAATTAATGGCTTAATATAGCCAATCGTCCTAACAACATGAACGTAGTTTTGTTACATCTCTGTCTTGCAGCGCGTTGGAGCCCATACGTGTGTTTATTCCTGCTTGCCTCTAGCCGGTGCAAGGCATGGTACGGCCGGCCAAGCACACACAAGTATTGGTATGAGTTTAGCCATACAATTGGCAGGAGGCTAACAGGGGCCTTTCTGTCAATTATCGCATGCAATCAGCTAATAACTGTGAGGATGTGCTGGTTTTTACCCTATGTATACGTTGGCCAATAGTTCGGCTTTTCTTTTCTTATTCGAACATGCACATAGCAACAAGCATAATATTATGTTTGGACGATGTAGCATATATTGGCACAGCCACTACATATAGATGTATTATACAATTAGGTTGTCTTGACTATCGGTGTAGGGAATGCCATCTCGAAGATATAAAGCTGCTTTATCTGGAAGGTATCCAACAACCTGAAGCGTCCTCTCATTCAATTCCTGGGAAACACCACGTTCAGAAAGTGCACCTTTCACCGTAGATAATATATCGTCTGGAACAGCCAGCTTGAGGAGGGAGGGCAAACCAGATACCAAAGTGCACATTGCATCAAGAGAAGGAATCGTCGGAATATGAACAACACTTGAGAATAAGATAAGCTGAGTAAGGGTGTTGTTCCAAATGGGTGGTGGTGTTATGTTTCCAGTGTCGTTTCCAGTGTTGCATACGGCCCCGACAAGGAGCCAGCGCAGATGAGGAAGCTGAGGGAGAATATGAGTAAGATTGGAGAGATATACTGGGAATTGAAGACATAGCTTTTCTAACTTTGTCCACAGAATCGTATCAGGAAGTGGAATTGGTAAGCTTGTGTCAATACGTATTTCAGTGATGAAAGTTGAGAACGGTTTGCTGAAAATATCCTTTACGAAAGACACCGTAGCTTCGTCATGCACCTTATTATTCCAGTTTCTAATAGAAATGTGTAGAGTTTGAACATCTCTGAAGGTAATTATTGCAGGGAATTGGAATCTATCAACCATGTCAACAATAGTGGCAGTCTGTATTGGCGCGTTCTTGAATAAAGCGAGGGTGTTCGAATCTTTGAGTGGATAGTAATCTAAACGCATATCCTTCAGCTTTGGAAACGATATAGAAGGAAGGTATGTATCAGATTCATCTGTTGACTCAGATATTTTATGATAGTGGTAGATTTCAAGCTTCGTAAGATTCTCAAAAATAACTGACCCAGGCAGATAGCCTCTGAAGATGTGCCATGAATGTAGAATGTCAGGATAATATAGGCTCAGATACTCGAGTGAGGGTGCAAAAATCCTAGGGATACGCTCAGCACTCTCGCTGTTGATGTGAAGATGCAGTATAGTGAGGAATGAAGAGAAGTATGTGTAATCGAATTGTGGAAATGTAAAATCGACCAAATCTATTGTTTGCAGCTGTGGCAAGTAAAAGTTCAAAATATCACCGAGCGGGAATGCTGGGGGATTATTCAATGGGTATCTGGATGCTCTATGCCCCAAATATGTCACATGAGGGAGGTGATTTACAAAATATTGTGAGGTTTGTGACAGTCGTTCTCCGACATCATCAGCTATTGGGAGTTTGGTGTCTGGATCCTGCTCTGTTTCAAGGGGATATTCCATAAAACGTATTGCTTCTAATCTAAGCCATTCGACAGTGCTGAATCCAAATGTTTCGAGGATGTCTCCAAGAGAAGGAAAATCGATGATACAGTCTCGAGATGAGATAAGAAGTTGCTGAGTGTAGTTGCTGTTTTTTGATCGTACGATATTTGAGATGTTTGTTCTCCATAAAATAGGGTGTGGTGATGAGGTTGCGAGATGTATGCCTTTGGATGCGAATTGGTCAGAATAAGAGGTGCTGCCATATAGAAGTAGCTGCTCAGCTGTTGGTTTGTGGCACAAGATAATCGCGGCAGTGCAGAGGTTCGCTTTTATAGTGTACCTCCAGTGTTGGCAAACCTGGTTAAGCTGGAGGAATGAAATATAGATGTCGATATCATTAGGATTCATAAGGTGAATACCGCTGCGATATATGTTGACAGCTTGTCGAAGAATATATGGTCTCAGTGTTGCCCAGTTCGCCATTAGTGTGAAAAAGCGAGTTTGTGAAGAGGAGTAGAAAAGAACTGTGGTTCTTGTCAGTAACAGTTGACAACCCCCACTTGTCATATGCATGTCAATCCTCGTCGACATTTCCCTAATCCTACTCTACCATCCGCAATACTCGACCTCACTCGTTTACACGGGTCGCATAAATCTAATATCCATTGTCGATTTTGGTATGATCAAGATACTGCTATATTACTGGCTGGAGGAGTGTTAACATTCATACGTGTTTATCCCTGCTTGCCTCTAGCCGGCGAAAAGCATGGTACGGTCGGCCAAGAAGATACGTGTGGATATGTTGGCCAGTATTCCATCATCTCGATTCTTAATCGAACATGTACATAACAACAAGCATAGAATTATGTTTAAACAATGTAGCATTTATTGGCACAGCTACATCACCTAGATGTATTATGCAATTCGATTTCCTTGATTATCGGTGTAGGGAATGCCATCTCGAAGATATAAAGCTGTTCTATCTGGAAGGTATCCAACAACCTGAAGTGCCTCTTTGCTAAATTCTCGAGAAATGGTGTGTTCAGAAAGTGCACCTTTCGCCGTAGACAACATATCGTCTGGAACAGCCAGTTTGAGGAGGAAGGGCAAACCGGATACTAGAATGCACATTGCCTTAAGAGAAGGAATCGTCGGGATGTGAGTAATACTTGAAAATAAGATAAGTTGAGTGAGGGTGCTGCTCCAAATGGGTGCCAGTTCTGTATTCTCTATGCGATTTCCAGTGTTGTATATGGCTCCAACAAGAAGCCAGCACAGATGAGGAAGCTGAGGGAGAATGTGGATGAGATCGAAAAGGTAGACGGGGAAGTTGAGACATAGCTTTTCTAGCTTTGTCCACAGAATCGTATCAGGGACTGGGATTGGTAGGCTTGTCAGAATGAAAATTTCAGCGATGGAAGTAGAGAACGGTTTGCTGAAAAGATCCTTTGCAATAGACACCGTAGTTTCGTCATGCACACTAGTATTCCAGATTCTTATAGAAATGCATAGAGTCTGAACATCTCTGAATGTGGTTATCACAGAGAGTTGAAATCTATCAACCATGTCAACGATAGTTGCAGTCTGTATTGGCGCGTCCTTGAATAAAGCGAGGGTGTTGGAATCTTTGAATGGATAGTATTGTAATCGTAAATCCTTCAGCTTTGGAAACGATATAGAGGGAAGGTATGTGTCTGATTCATCTGTTGACTCAGATATTCTGGAATAGTGATAAATTTCAAGCTTCGTAAGGTTTTCGAAGATAACCGACCCAGGCAGGCTACCTCTGAAGATGTGCCACGAGTGTGCAATATCAGAATAATATAACCACAGTGTCACCAATGAAGGTGCAAAAACTCTAGGGATATGCTCAGCACTCTCACTGTTGATGTGAAGATGCAGTATAGTGAGGAATGAAGAGAAGTATGTGTGATCGAGTTGTGGAAGTGTAAATTCGGGTAAAAGCAGTGTTTGCAGCTGTGGCAAGTAAAAGTCCAACATATCACCAAGTGGGAATGCTGGCGAATTCTTCAGTGGATAGCTGAATGCACCATGTATCAAATGCTTCACATGAGAGAGGTGTTGTATAAAATATTGTGAGGTCTGTGACAGCCGTTTACTGACATCGTCAGCTATTGGGAGTTTGGTGTCGGAATCCTGTTTTGCCACTTGTGGATCCTCAATAAGACGTATTGCTTCCAATCTAAGCCATTCAACGGTGCTGAATCCAAATATTTCGAGGATATCTCCAAGAGAAGGAAAATCGATGGTACAGTCTTGAAATGAGATAAGAAGTTGCTGAGTGTAGTTGCTGTTTTTTGATCGCACGATATTCGAGATATTTGTTCTCCATAGAATAGGGTGTGGTGATGAGGTTGCGAGATGTATGCCTCTGGATGCGAGTTGGTCAGAATCAGAGGTGCCGCCATATAGAAACAATTGCTCAGCTGTTGGTTTGCAGCACAAGATAATCGCGGTAGTGTAGAGACTCTCTTTTATAGTGTCTCTCCAGTGTTGGCAAACCTGGTTAAGCTGGAGGAATGGAGTATAGATGTCGAAATTATCCGAACTGCCTAGGCGAATACTACTGCGACATATGTTGGCAATCCGGAGTAGAATAAATGGTCTCAGTGTTGCCCAGTTCGTCATTAGTGTGAAAAACGAGGTTGAGAAGAGGAGTAGGGAAGAAATACAGCTTCGGGCAATAATAACTGCCAAGTCACACTTTTCACACGTATCCATCATTGTCCACATTTCCCTAATCCTACTCTACCATCCACAATACTCGATCTCACTCGTTTACACGGGTCGCATAAATCTAATATGCATCAGAATAGCTGGTATAATCAAGATGTTGCTGCACTGCGAAACAGCTCATATACTGAAGTTGCGCAGCATTTGCCTGTAAACGAATATATTTAATACTGCCCTTACTTCACAACGACCACATACAAAAATCACATATACGTGTTGATAATACATGTAGCCAAGATGCCTCTCACTTGATTGTCGGCCAGTCTGGGACATTCTCCCTGTCGACCTGATCCAGCACGGGCTGAATATCAAACAGCTCAATAAACTGCTGGTCCATGGACCTTGACTTTGGGGCCGAGAACCTCCGGTACTCGTCGAAAATGCTGGTATTCGACCACTCCTGCAATTTCCTCAGACACCCAACCAAGCACCCGGTGCGGTGCTTCCCCTTGTTGCAGTGGATCAAAATCGGATGGTTCCGTTTGTCCATCAGCGTCAGCAGTGCTTCGCACATAATGTCTTCGGGGATATCGGCAAATGGCTCCTTGTTGCCGGCGACGCCAAACTGGAACAAGGTGATGTTGTTTTCGGCCAGGAATTTTTGGTTCTGTGTCGGGTATTCCTCGAGAATCAGCGTCAGGATGGATTTGAGCTTGAGCTTCTGCAGGAACGCGAAATTGCGCTTTTTCGGCATGCCGCTGCGGTAGATGTACGGGCAGACCATGGAGAAGTTCTCGGGCGGGTACATGTCCTCGGGGAATTCGAGGTGCGGGTCGTCGAAGGCCTTGGTGGGCAGCACCGGCGTCATTATCGAGACGCTGACCTGCGGGCTGGCGCTGGCCCCGGGCTGCACATGCTGCGGTGATTCGGGCGGCTGCTCCATAGGCTGTGTTTGAACAATGAGGGGGTGGAAAAGGGGAAGCGAAGGGGAGGCGGGTGTTTGATCCAATTGTTGGTTTTCTTTTTTTTTTTTTGCAACACTAGCAAAGTATGACATGGAATTGTGTGATTGCGCAAATATGGTTATCCAGCCGTTCCCAAACAATCGGATTGCGATATCTATTCCGGACGGTCCAAGAAATGCTACTGCCCGGGCTGCCAAAGAGGCGGACAAGAAAGCTGCTGCGATATTAAACCGAAACAGGACGTTGTTGAGCTAATCTGCATGTGGTCGAGGGGTGAGAGAGCCGGTGGCCAGATCCGTATTTTCCTCTGCAAAGCACTATTTCTGCAAGCGGGCGTCTGGAAACAATGGCGGCTGCATTGCAATAAGGAAGCAAGTAATTTCGCAAATAGAGTGGGCAGCTTGGGTGACAGAGCCGGGCGATCCTCCTCCATGGGTGCGTGGTGGGAGACATTGATTTTGCACATGCAGAAAAGGGGAGCAGAGAATGGGCATGGCCATGGTGCATCTTTGTTCGCATGCTCCCCCTTGGGCCGCGTCGAGAAAGGTGCTGCGAGGGGAGATGGGCGCTATAATGCCGATTCTCTGCTCCTTTTTAGCACACTGGGCGACATTTCTCTGCCAGACACTTTTATATTTCGAGACCGCAACAGCATCTGGGGTGCCACCAACGTGTGACTCCAAATAGCCCATCTTCAGTAACCACCATCCCCAGAGACCGGTTTAAAAGGAGCCAGGCGGTTTCCTGCCAGACGTGTCCGCGAAAACATAAACAACCTTTTTATTTTCCAAATTTCTTCACTCTTCCCTCCTCCTCGTTCCCCCCAAATCTTCATTTCTGTTTACATATTTTCTTTTACTCGCCTCTTATACCCTGCCATGAATTCAGCACAACAGCGGACAGACATGCAGGTGAGCCAGCAGCCGACCAGCCCGTCGCTCGGGCCGACGACACAGGCCGGCGAGCCCGTGTTCCGGTTCTATCTCAGCCCGCCGCAGCCGCAGCCCATGTACCAGCCGCTGCCGGGGGTGTATCCGGGCTACGGCGGCTACCTGCCGGTGTCACCGGCGCCGGGCAACTACCAGCAGTACTACGGCCCGGCGATGCCGATGCCGGCGACAGCGGCACCTAGCATGTACTACGGGCAGCGACCCAGTATGGCAGGGCCGGCACCGACCACGAGCCCGGCGCCGCAGGCAATGTACAGCAAGGCAGAAATGAACGACGCCACGATGGTGGCCGGGGAGCTGGATGGCGGGCGGGCAGAGGCGCCGACGGGTGGCTACGGCATGGACGAGAACGGGCAGTATATTGAGATAAAGTTCCCGTCGATGGGCCGCGCGGAGGGGTCGCGGGCAGTGGGCTCGGCGCCAGCGGCGGAGAAGCCGGCGTCACTGCCGACGCCGGTGGCCGAGGCGAAGCCGCAGATTAGCGTGTTTGACGAGGCGCAGTACGTGGAGCGGCATATGGAGGATATAGTGCTGGACAGGCAGGCGTATTTCTGGAATATCGCGAATTGGGATGCGCTGGACAAGCGGGCAACCAGCGATGTGTTTCGGTGCGGCGGGCACGCATGGCGGATCCTGCTCCGGCCGTTTGGCAGCTCGCACAAGGGCGTGTTGTCGTTCTTTCTGGAGAGCATGGACGCGCAGCCCGGAAATCCGGATGTCAGGATTACGTGCAAGTTCGTCCTGGCCGTGGCCAACCCGAACGACCCCACGCATAGCACCAGCGGCTCGGCTTACCACTGCTTCACGCAGAACAACCCGAACTGGGGGTTCACGCGCTTCATGAAGCTGGCCGAGCTGCGCACCGGGCTGACACCTGGCGCCAAGCCGTTCATTGAGAACGGGGCATGCACCATCTGCGCCTATGTGCAGGTGCTCAGGGACCCAAGCCAGTGATACCGAAAAAGCCTAAATGTTGCATTTTAATGTAATGCCCAGGGGTGTTTTTTCCTGAACTTTTCCTGTTTCAAAAACCTATACTTTTAAGCACTTTTGTTCTACGCGACCGTGGTCATTTCCAATGTGCCGCCAGTGTGCGTGTGTGCAGCCTGAGCCGCCGCCCGGCCGTAGTACGCAATCAGCGCCAGCTGTCCGGCACACAGCCCAGCGCCAATCGAGTTCGGAAACAGCATGTACGGGTCATTATGCAAGTACCCGTAGACCGTCCACAGCACATTATTGGTGAACGCCAGCACCGTGACCGACGGCAGCAGCACCGAGGCATCGCGCAGTCTCACCACGCTGCCAATCTGGCTGAGCGGCGAGCCCAAAAACACCAACGTCATCAGACAGCATACCAGGCTGAATGCATCAACGGCGGCCGGGTCGGTAGCGCGGTCGACCAGGGTCACCAGTACCAGAGCAGTCAGTGCAGTGGCCAAAACGCGGGTCTCGACGGAGGCGCGGCTGGGCGCGTAGTACCAGAAGCAGCCGAGAATGTACGCGGCGATCAGCGTGCCCAGGGAGTTGACAAAGGTGATAGTTGCGTCGGCCTTGATCAAGCCGTACTTGAGCCAGAGCACTGAGCTCAGAAACGACACCAGGAACTGCAGCATGGGCACGCTGCTGTGCGACTTGCTGGCTCGCCGCAGTTCTGTGATAATCGAGAGCTGACTCACGAACATGGCTATTGTGGCCCCCGACGCGCTGATGGAGACCAAATTCATTTGCAGCTTTTGTGAGATGTGGAAGAAGAAAAATCGAATTTGAGCGAAGGCGGCAGAGAGAGGAAAGAGGGCTGCAGGAATCACGAGTGGCACACTTCAATGAAGCATCTGAAGCTGCGCACGCAGACCACACAGCAAGGGTGTTTATTTTCAAAGCTACTGCCGCTTAGCATACACAGAAATCCGGATCTCCTCAGGCGATCATCTCCAATTAGCGCCGACGGCGACTGGAACTGCGACGGCGACTGGAACTGCGACGGCGGCTGGAGCTGCGCCTGCGTGGCCTGCGCTCGCGGTAATAGTAGTCGTCGTCCTCGCTATCTCTGCGGCGACGCGACCTGGCATACCGCGCACCGGCATCTCTGCTGCGCTCCCTGCTGCGCTCCCTCCTGGCCCTCTCCTCCGGCCGGTACTTCTCCTCAACACGGTCCTGTGCCTCCCTAACTCTCCTCATGGCCTCCCCGGGTCTGACCTTCCCCAGCACCGGCCACGCAATCCCCTCACTGACGGTTTTCCCCGCCTGATTCGCCGGGTCCAGGCTGCTCGGCAGCGATGCAACTGCCGCCAAAGTCGCCACCTGCGGCACCGCCGGCGCCCTGACCATCGGCTTGTTAATCGCATTCTTGGACCGGTTCACCTTCAGCGCCCGCTCACCCATCACCTGCCCGTTCATTGCCAGCGCATTGTTGGCCGTCTGCGTGTCGGCGAACTCGACAAAGGCGAAGCGCGTCATTTGCTGCCCGTCGCCGGCCATCTTGACATACGCCACGGGCCCGCAGCTCGTGAAAAACGTCAGCAGCGCGTGCTCGTCCACCATGGCCGGGATGTTGCCCACGTAGACCGTCCGCGATATCTCCTCTTGCCGCCCGGCCTCGGTGCATGTGCGACGGTAGCCGCGCGCTGCCATCATCGCCACCACCGGTGCGTTCGCCAGCGCCTGCCCGGGCTGCGAGTCGCCCAGCGACGTCACCGTGAGCGCGCGCTCGGCCAGCTCCGTCCCCGACAGAAACAGCGCCGGCTTGACTGACGATGCTGAGGCGAACTCTATTGTCGCTTCCTGCATGTCGCTGGTCTTGGTCAGCGCCAGCGCCTTGATTTCGCCCAGGAACTCAAACAGCGTCCGCAGCACCGCCTCGTCCACCAGCAGGGAAATGTTCGTTACCTTGACAGAAGCCATTCAGAAGAGAAAAAGTAGCAAAAAAAGCGAAGCAAAAGAAAGCAGCAAGGATTTTCCTTTGGGTGCATGGCGCGCCTATGCTTTGAGCTTGCAAGCCTCCTTCTCCTCCGCTCTCCAACCCCTTTCCGCGCTTTCTTCCAATGGACGACTACTCGAATGAATACACATGCCGCCTGATCAGCAAATGCCAGGCCTGTGCGCCCTCAGAGCTGAACCAGCCGTTCTGCAAGCTGAACGGATACAAGCAGGAGGTCGCCTGCGAATGGAACGGCACCGTGCCAAAGGACTACCAGGACTCGCACCAGCTGCCCGAGTACCAGGAATGCGCCCACCCCGAGGAGAAGGACCGCAGGGACTTTTTCCGAAACGAATTTCTCTTCATCGTCCTCGGCATTGCCGCCTTCGCCGTGTACGTCTGGCGGAAAAAGCGCATCGGCTACTCCAGGGTCTGAGGTCCAAGGGCTGTTGACATTTTTTGTAAGAGAGTACATACGGTTCGGCTAAAAAGTAAAAAGTTGATGTGGTATGGAAAGAGGGAAGGAGAGAGCCACTGCGGAGCATTAGTCTGCTGGCGTAGGATTCCGGTCCTGCACCATGTGCTGCTTGAGCTTGGATCCCCGCGGCGGTGTGCCATGAAGCACATGCTCGTCCTGCTGCTGCGCGGCGGGCGGCGACTCATCCGACACGTCGTCGTCGTCGTCGTCATCGTCATCGTCCTCCAGCAGCGTCTCATTCAGCTCGTCCTTGTCCACCACGCGCTGCCGCGGCTTCTTCGCGCCGTTCGCTGTCGGAATCGCCATCGGCTGCGTGGCTGCCGCTGCTGCCGAGTCAGCCGCATCAGAAGCACCAGCCATCGCCTCCTCCTGCTCCTGCTGCTCCTTCAGCGCCTTCTCCGCCGCGGCTTCGTTCATCAGCGCCTCCGCCTGCTGCCGCTTTGACCAAAAGTTCGCCTCCACGCGCGCCATGCAGCTGCTCAGGTTCTCCATCAGCGGCTTCAGGATCTCAAACGAGCACAGCAGCTGCTCGTTCACGTTCATCACGGCCCCCGAGTTGTCGAACTCGCCGCAGTAGTTGGGCGCCGAAAACACCGTCACCAGCTGCCGCCCGTGGAAAAACTCGTACCCGTCCTCGACCACCATGTGCGCGCGGCAGATCAGGTCAAAGTCCATGCGCCGCAGGAAGTCGGTGATCACGCTCTTGCCGAAGCAGTACGAGACCCCGCGCTCGTTCTCCTCCCAGTCCGCTGCCGTGTCGGACGGGTCGGACCACAGCAGGTCGTTCAGCACCCCGTGGTCCGGCACATCGCATGGCCGCGCCAGCTGCCGGATCTGATCCATGCTGGTCAGGTCTGGCGACAGCCCGCCATGCACGCAGAAGATCTTGGATGCCACCACCGCCGCAATCGGCAGCGCATTAAACGTGTTGATGAACGCCTTCCACACCTTGACATTGCACCGGCGCTTGCACTCGTCGTAGAACCCATACACCCGCGTCACATTCGCACACTCGTGGTTGCCGCGCAGCAAAAAGAAGTTGTCTGGGTACTTGATCTTGAAGCACATCAGCAGCAGGATCGTCTCCAGCGACTGCTTGCCGCGGTCCACGTAGTCGCCCATAAACAGGTAGTTGCAGTGCGGCGGATACCCGCACTTGTCAAACAGCCGCAGCAGATCCGTGTACTGCCCGTGGATGTCGCCCGTGATTTTCACCGGCGCTGCCAGCTCCAGCAGCGTCGGCTGCGCCAGGAACACCTCGCGCGCGGCCTGGCACACCGCGATGATCTCAGAGTTGCGCAGGCACACGCTCTTGGTGACCTTGCCGCTGAACCCGGCGTCCAGCAGCCGGAAAATCATGTCGTCCACGCTGAACTGCTTTGGCTTCTCTGCGTGCTTGATTATCGCAAACTCGGCTCCGCTCGGCGTCGACACGTACTCGGTCAGCGCCATCCGCCCTCCTCGCGCAGCGCCGGCAGCCGCTCCCCCGCATACGCCGTCCCGGGCCCGCCCGTCAGAATCGACGTCCCCGGCAGGTCGCAGTACGACCGCGGCGTCGCCGCCCCCGGCGTCCGCACCGTCCCCTCCTCCACTCCTTCTATCGCCGGACGATACCTTCTTCTTGCGCCCGCGCATCCGCCCGCCCAGCGACATCCGTGACTCCCGCGTTCCTGTCATCTGCAGCGGAAAATACTCTCCACGCGGTCCCGACAACGAGCCGGGCGTCGCTGGCGTGCTGCTTACCGCCCCCACCGAGCCTGGCACCGCAATCGGCGACGATACCCCGGCCCGGTTCACCATGGGCGATGGCAGCGCCCCCGCCAGCGATGGTCGTGCGGGCTTGCTGCTGTCACGCGTCGATGCTGCTGCTGCTGCTGCTGTGGTGGTCGTGTTGGTGGTGTTGGTAGTACTAGTTCCGGTTGTGTCCGACGACGCCCGCACAATGCTGGCTGGCACCGCGCTGTCGCTCGTGTCTTCGGACGCCCGCCCGCCCTTGCGCGCCTTTATTGCCTTGGACGGCGCGTTTCCCATGGTCTGGTTTTTGCTAGCGTGTGGTCCTGCCGAGTCCGAAATTGACGGCGAGCAAAAGAGATGGTGGCGAATTGGTCTTTTTTGTTGTCTTTGTCAGCCAAAAGCTGTAGATACTACTTTTTTTTTTTGTTCTTGGCCAGAAAGTGTGCGAGGGGGTGTAGTGCGTGCAGTTATAACAATATGTAGAGGAAGTCTATAATTGGTAGAAGTTTTAACGGTGAACGGTATAGAAACAAAAATAGATAGAGGGAAAGAGCAGAGGAGCAGGAAAAAGAGGGAGAAACAGCGCTCATGCTAAGAAGCCCATGTGCTGTGGTCGCTAATTTTCATATTGCTTCTTTTGGGCCTGTGCAAGCTAATGCTAGCCCGCCGATCGTTTTTTACGACTCAGGTTCAGAATGGCCAGCAAGAATGAGCCGGGTTTTGGTCAGATAGACATGATCCTCTGGGTTGAATTCAGGTAAAGAAAAGGTGAACAGAAATGCACTACCTCAGCGCCGCCAGCTGCCGCCGTCGTCGCCGGTTCGGCCTTCGCGCTTGAAGAACCCGCCGGTCGTCCTGCCGCCGCGCGCCGCACCCTGGCCGCTTCCGCGGCGCTCAGTCTCGGGCGCCCTGCGCGGCTGCTGGGGCTTCTCGCCGGCCACCTGGCTCCAGCCCTCATCGCCCTCGCCAGCCTCCTTGGCCGGCTCGTCGGCGGGCTTCCTGGCCGGCTCGTCGGTGGGCTTCTTGGCCATCCTCCACGACGCAGCCTGCTCGGCCTGGGTGGGCGTGCGGGGAGCGCGCGGCTCGCGGCTTGCCGACCGCTCCCTAGGCGGCTGGTACTCGCGCGGCGTGCGCGGCGGACCCCACTCGGCATCGCGGCTCTCGCGCCGCCACTGCGAGCGCTCCTCGCGCGGCTCGCCGGCATTGCTGGGGGTGCGCGCCAAAGCGGTCGCTAAAGGCTGCGCGGCGCGGCGAGCTCTCGCCCGAGACCGGCTCGCGGTGGACGCGCCAGTCCGACGCGCCCTCGGCAACCGACGGCTCGCGCGGCTCACGCGGCTCCCGGGGCTCCCGGGCCTCGGAGCGCCCGAACCCGCTGCTGGTGCGCGACCCGAACGGGCTGGCGGCGCCCGGCTCGCGACGCCAGTTGGAAGCTCCCGACGGCCGCTCCTCGCGCTGCTCCGACACGTTGACGCGGATCTGGCGGCCGCTGAACTCAGCTCCGTCCTTCTCCACCGCCTGCTTCAGGTCCTCCAAGGTCTCAAACTCAACATACCCGAATCCCTTCAGCCGCTCCGTCGCGTGGTCGCGGATCAGCCGCACCGTTGTGACGCCCGAGAAGAAGTCGCGCAGCTGGTCCTCGTCCACGCTGAACGGCAGGTTGCCCACAAATGATGTGAAGGGAGGGTTGGTCGGGAATTCTACCGGCCCGCGCGGCTCGCGTGGCTCGCGCGCCGCCCACGACTCGCTGCTGCGCCCCACCATGTCCTTGCGATCCGGTGCGTCCGCCAGCGAGCTGCGCGGCGCTGCCACCGCCATCGGCGCCGAGGGCAGCTCCATATCCTCGTCCGCCCACGACGACGTCGTCGGGCCGTCGTTCAGAAAGTCGTTCAGACTCATCTTCTGTCCCTTGTTTCCCTTCTTCTTGGCTACACCGCACACGCACACCCGGTCACATTAGCAGCAAGTGGACCTTTGCATATATCGCATGGTCTTCAAAATATACTCATATATGTATACGCACCAGGCATGGTTTTATTTCTTTTTCAGGCTCCTTTTCTTGTGGTATGTGCGTCTGTGGCTGCTGTGCTGATGTCGAAATCCGCCTGTGTGCTTCTTCCCCTGTGCTTGTCTCGCGACCCGTGTACAAGTGCTGAAGCGTTCAATTCAGAATAAAAGAAAGACCGAAAAGTATCGAGGGAAGGAAAGGAAAGCGCTGGAATGCTAAGAATAAAAATCCCTTTTTGCTGGGCGATGGGATTTTTTTTTCGTTCACCCCAACAAAATTTTTCTCTTTTCCATTTGGCTCTCCAACCGCGCCCGACCCAGTGTTTTGCTGCCGATTAGCCCTGCCCTCTTGCCTGATTCCGGCATCCCCTCGGTTACCCGTTTCCCCGATACCTCCCAGAAAAATATCCCAAATGCACTCCAAATTCCGTCCATGCATTGACCTGCACAGCGGCCAGGTCAAGCAGATCGTCGGCGGCACCCTGCACGAGCACAACGACAGCACGCTGAAGACCAACTTTGTGTCCGCCCACCCATCAGACTACTACGCGGCGCTCTACCGCCAGCACAACCTCACCGGCGGCCACGTTATCATGCTGGGCGCGAACAACGAAGCCGCCGCGCAGTCTGCCCTGCAGGCATGGCCGGACCGCCTGCAGGTCGGCGGCGGGATCACGTCGAGCAACGCGCAGGAGTGGATTGCGCGCGGCGCGCAAAAGGTCATAATCACCAGCTGGCTGTTCCCCGAAGCGCGGTTTTCGCTGGAGCGCCTGAAGGAAGTCAGCAGGCTGGTCGGCAGGGACCGCCTGGTGGTGGATCTGAGCTGCCGCCGGCGCCCGGACGGCTGGGTCGTGGCCATGAACAAGTGGCAGACCATGACCGACATGGTGATTGGCAGGGAGGAGCTGGAATTGCTGGCCGAGTTTTGCTCCGAGTTCCTGATCCACGCTGCTGACGTCGAGGGCCTATGCAACGGCATTGATGCCGAGCTTGTCGAGGCCCTGGCCCAGTGGTCGCCGATTCCCGTCACCTACGCAGGCGGCGCCAGGACCGTCGAAGACTTGGCGCTGGTCACCGAGCTGTCGCGCGGCAAGGTCGACCTGACTATCGGCAGTGCCCTGGATATCTTTGGCGGCGACAAAATCAAATTTGCAGACTGCGTCAAGTGGAACCAGACTGGGCAGCTGTAGGGCCCCTCTCTGCTGGAATGCACGGGAAAC